ATTCGATTCCCAATGGCTCCACCTCAGACTGATTTTAATGCCTGGTCTCAATGACCAAATTCTAGGCAAGAGTGAACGTACAAACACACCCCATTGCATTCATTAAGTCAGAATTCTGGAAAAGGTGAAACTGTCTTTCAGGCTTAATTTATTTCTGCAACTTGTTTTGTTTGATTACAACATACGTTTAGAAGATGCTTGCCCTTCACTTTCCAGTCTCCTTTTAGCCTTTGTCAGAGCCTTGCAGGCTCTCCACAGGTGGTTCCATTTGTAATCCATTTGACACAGCAAGACTATCATAATTAATGAAGTTCCCTACAGCACTGCCAGTGACCCAGAATGTAGGACAGGAGAGGTACTGAAGCAGTAGAAAGAACAGTGGGCTGAGAGCCAGGAGACCTGGACGTGGTCAGGAGCCTGCTGTGGGGCTGCCATAGAAGGAGGACAACTCTTTTCTTCTGTGCCTCTCTGTGTCTCCAGCCTTAAACTGGAAGGGTGGGAAAGAAAAGGCACTGTCTAAAAGGAGGCTATAATCACTAACCATTAAAATTCCTGCTCTTGGCTACCTTCCTTTATTTGTCACTGAAAATCACTTTACAACAAACTGTTGTCAAGGTTTGATTGTGGTATGGAAGAGGGGGGAGATACGACTGAATCTTTAAATGTGAAAATAAACATGGAAGTTTCTGAGGTGAAGACTAGGGCAGAGCCTAGAGAACACAGGCATCTGAGCCCTTCCAGGGGCGGTTCCCCAGTGTCCGCCTGGCAGGATCTTCACATGGTCAGGTTGAGGTAGGAACAAAGGAAACCAGGCGTGGTATTGTTCCCCCTTTTTTTCTCTCTGCTTCAAACACACATGTAAATGGAATAAAAAGAGAAAAGAAATAAGACAGAAAAAAAACCAGATGGCTTTCTATAATGGTTTTCATCCAGTTACAAAGATGTTTTGACAATAAGGTCCTAGAGAAAAGAACTGGAATATATTTTTCCACATTTCACCCCACACTGTTTCTTGGATATGTTCACCTACACCCATAGAATAAACAGATCAGCTGCAAAAGAATTCCAGGAAGGTCATGGGAAAGCTCCTATGGTCTAGCTTGGTATACAGAGTCAGACAGAAGAATCTGGCTGATTTGTTCATTAAAATGGTGCTATATATCTGCTAAAAAAATGTTCCCAGAGGGACCCAAGAGACTTGCTCTCCTTCCCTCAGGCTTTATCAGACCCTCTGGTTCAGACTCACAACCCCCTGTCTCCACTGGTCAGCTTCTAGTGACACCATGCTATGATCCCCATGAAACCCGTAAAGACCGGAGATGTGGCATCTTATGCCGAGGGTCCCATTTTTCCCCTAAGTGAAGAAACCTGAATTTACCTGAATCGAAGTCTTCACCTCAATTTTTTATTATTTTTATTCAAAATCCTACTGCATCATTCCCTCCTAACAGGTCCTTGAATCTCCTAGCTATTTCCTTTTCGTGCTCTACACAGATTTAGGGCCCTTTTCACTCATGTTTTTACTCACAGTATCAATCATTTATTATTATTATTACATTTTGAAAATGTATTTAAAATTCTACTTTTTCCTGTTTATAAAAGAATACAGTCACACAAAATATTTCTACTCTTTATGATTATAAAAATGTCCCAAGTAAAGAAACTGAAATTTCTGTTTTTCCATTAATGCATGCTTCAGGAACCGTTGGATGTATTTTCATGAAATGTGGAGGGGACGTTTTGGATGGTTTGATTTACACTAGAAAGTACAGGGCACACATGCCATTCACTCTGCGCGCCCTGGCAGGCGTTCTCCTGGGCAGCTGATGGTGAGGTACAGGGAGGGGCCTATACGCTGCCCCTGGGGGACTTGCCAAACATATAAAGAAACTGAGAACAGCTTCAGACATGAACTCCAACTCCAAAGGCCCAGGGACCAACGTTCTGTACTGCGGGCTCCAGATCAACGAGCGGAAGCTGGGGCTGTTCTGTTGGGTGATGATGGGGCATTCTCCTGAGCTGGGCTGGCTGGACTGGCTGGTAAAGAATACCAGTACCAGCAACAGTCATCACAACAAAGCATCTGTCCAGGTCAGGAGCAGACACAAGACCTGCGGTGCTTCATTTAAGCCCCAACAGCCCCCTGGAGTAAGTAATGCTCTTATCTCCTTTTCGGGGATGAGGAAATTGACATCGTTGGATGTTAAACAGATTATTCCAGGGCACAAAGTTGCTAAGTGGCAGAGCCAGCATTTGAACTCAAGGATCGGCCTTCATCTAAAGGCCCGGGTCCCCACCACCATGCGCATTTCTAGCAACAATCCTCCAAGCTGTGGCGGGAGGGCTCACTCCTCACTACACCCTATCCGCTTCCGGAAACCACTGCAAGGTCTCCACAGCGCTACGCCCAGGGCGCAAGCCCGTTAGTCTGATCCCAGGCCCTGCAGGGGTGCTTCCAGGTAGCCGACTGATGCTCCACACCCCTGCGTCTTATCTTCTGACACCCTGCCTCCATCCCATGCCGCTCAGGCCACACTACTCGGCCTCTTCATCTGGCGTTCTCACTTCCACCTCTCCACCTTCTGCCACGCTGCTCCCCGAGCCAACAGGCTCTCCAGCTCTGCTGCCAAATCCTCTCAGAGCCAGGCAGCACCCTATCCTCCCTCTGCTTTGCTCAGTGGAAAGCAGAGGAGTTTCTTTCTTACTCTAAAAACCCTTTCCCCACCCTCTACGTAGCACTGTCTGAAGTGGACGCTTCCCGGCAGGCGCTTCGGCCACGCATGCTCAGTGACAGTGCCGATGATGGTCCTTCGTACAGATCACCAGCCCCCGGGGCTGCAAAGCTGGGCGCAGATCTAACAAACATTTATTGTGTATGCCCGGTGTCGTTCTGCTACGTTCTAGGCATTGCTCTAGGTACAGAAGATACAATAATAGTTAACAGAAACATGTAGAGGCCCTTCCCTCGTGGAAGTTACAATCTAGTGAAAATACCTTCTCCATTTCTGTGTTACGGTGTATATTCCCATAGGATAGCTCTGGAGACAGACTGTCTGGGATCACATCCCAGCCTTTCTACTTAGAGTTCTGTGTGACCTTGGCTGAGTTAGTTAACTCTCTTTGCCTCAGTTTCCTGTCAATTGGGAAACATTAATAGCATTTCCCTCAAAGACCTTACGAGAATTAAATAAGTTAACAGAGTTAATACATGCGAAGTATTTAGGATAGTGGTTTGTGATATTGTGACTTATAATAAGGCATGTCTTTGGTTTTCCACCTCATTCCTGGCTCAAAGCTCCTAAAACCCTTGGAATTTCCTAAGGGATGATAGCAAGAAAGGTGTCTTTTGTTATGTTAATGAGGTTACTTTCAAAAACCGCCTAAGGATGGGGGCTGGTTGCTAGGAGAACCAAAAGTGTGATTAGAGGGTTGGAACTTTCAGTCCCAAACCCAACCTCCGGGGAAGGGAGATGAACTGAAGATTGAGTTCATCACCAACGGCCTGTGATTTAATCAGTCGCACCTGTGTAATGAAGCCTCCATAAAAACCAACAAAGGGGGCGCCTGGGTGGCTCAGTTGGTTGAGCGACTGCCTTCCGCTCAGGTCATGATCCTGGAGTCCCGGGATCGAGTCCCGCATCGGGCTCCCTGCTCAGCGGGGAGTCTGCTCTCCCTCTGACCCTCTTCCCTCTCGTGCTCTCTGTCTCTCATTCTCTCTCTCTCAAATAAATAAATAAAATCTTAAAAAAAAAAAACACCAAAAACCAACAAAGGACAGGTTCGGAGAGCTTCCGGGTTGGTGAACAAGTAGAGACCTGCGAAGCGGGCTGCGCTGGGGGAGGGATGGAATCTGCTTGCCCTTCCCCATACCCTATGCTTGCATCTGATATCTGGCTGTTCCTGAGTTATATCCTTTTGTGATAACTGGTGATCTAGTAAGTAAAATGTTTCTCTGAGTTCTATGATCCGCTCTAGCAAATTAACCGAAGCCATGGAGGGGCTCCTTGGAACTTCCAACCTGTACATCTCAAGTGGTGGGGGAAGGCAGTCTTGTAGCCCTTAATTTAGGGGATCTGGTGCTGTCCTCCAGGTCATCTCAGAATGCAGATGAACTGCAGGACACCGTGCTGGTGTCCACGAATTGCTTGGTGGTGTGGAAAAGCGCTCCCACACATTGGAATTGGGTGCAGAATCACAGCGGCCCACTGTAAGGTCTCAATATGTGTTAATTATTATTACTTCTTTTAGATAACTAAACATCAAGGTGGCAGAAGTCTTTCTTTGGACATTTCTTTTTTTTTTTAAAGATTTTATTTATTTATTGAGAGAAAGAGTGCCCTGCAGGGAGGGTGAGGGGCAGAGGGAGGGAGAATTTCAAGCTGACTCCACCCTGAGCACGGAGCCTGAGAAGGGCTCCATCTGACGGACTGTGAAATCATGACCTGAGCCGAAATCAAGAGTCGATCGCGTAATGGACTGAGCCACCTAGGTGCCCTCCCTTTGGAAATTTCTTAAGTGTCCTCCTCTAGGCTGTAAACTTTTTTTTTTAATTTAAATTCAACTAATTAACATATAATGTATTATTGGTTTCAGAGGTAGAGGTTAGTGATTCCTCAGTCTTAAATAATACCCAGTGCTTATTACATCAAGTGCCCTCCTTAATGTCCAACTTCTTAAAGGCAAGGGCCAAGTCTTCAGTTGTTTTGTGTTTGCCACACCTGGTTTAGTGCTTTCCACTGCTTGTTAATGAATACGTGCTCTTGACTGACAGGGCCAGGGCAAGAGGCCTCTGAGGGACAGAGTGTACCTCAGCTCTCCTCAGAGCACAACTGTGTTTGCCTGCGGGGCTCCATTTTCATTATTGTATCTTCTTGAAGAGAGAGGAATGTATATTCAGTGCCTTCTATTGTTTGTGTAAAACAAATTTGTAATTTCTCAAGAAACAAGTCCCAAGGTTATCATGTTAAAAACATCCTCTGCCTCAAAATGACAAGACTTACCTTGATTTTTCAATGGTAAAGGCATAGTTTCCCTGAGTTTGCTTAAAAGGTTTTTCATTTCTCGCATGTCTCTGTAAAAGTGATAAAAAGAAAAAAAAAAATCAGCTGTAAATTTTTGAAATGCAATCCCAGTCCGTTCTATGAGACAGTTGAGAAACGAGAGTCTGTGCTTAATTGTACTAGCTTTAGTTTCCAGTAGGCACATGTTGAATTTTTTTTTTTTAAGATTTTATTTATTTGTTTGACAGAGAGAGACACAGTGAGAGAGGGAACACAAGCAGGGGGAGTGGGAGAGGGAGAAGCAGGTTTCCTGCCAAGCAGGGAGCCTGATGAGGGGCTCGATCCCAGGACCCTGGGATTATGACCTGAGCCGAAGGCAGACGCTTAACGACCGAGCCACCCAGGCGCCCGGCAAGTGTTGAATTTATTTTGCTTTTATAAGAAAAAAAAATCTGAGACTGATGGTTTTGGAAGGAATGAGAACTACTCTGGCAAATATTTCCACAGGGCATTCTGCTGTAGGAGCCTTCTTCTCTGCCTTCGGTTAGACATGGCTGAGATCAGAGCAGAGTCTCTTGATAACAAGGCCAGTATCGCAGATTTCTAAGAGGGAGGTCAAGGACATGCAAGTAGTGTAACAGGGGTACTTTGGGCAAAGCTGAGGCTGGGTGATGTTGCTCTCAGGCTTTAAGGTCATATGGCTGTTGTGGTTGTAGTGGTCCACTGGCTATTGTCTCATTACTGTGATTGAAATTCAGTGTAACATAGCTGTTAAGGATTCACAAGGTTCAGCATCGATTGAAGTGACTTAGAATAATGGGAAACTGACGAATTCTAAAATCTTCAGAGAAGAGCTCTTCACGATGGGGAGGGGGGCGTGGAGAGGGAGAAGGAGGGAGAGGGAAGCACCTGGGACAGATGGACAAATGGACCTTCCTCTAGCCCCTCCCATGCAGGTAAGCCACTGCATCCCTCCAACATCTCTGCTCTCTCATCTTGGAATGTATGTGATCCTAAAACCATCCAACTGTGGAGCAGGAAGCCATAACAGGGGGCTTCTAGTTTGGGATAGGGATCCGTTGGACTTTTCAAATCCTTGGGGCAGTAGTTCTCCACATGTTCTGGTGGTCACCCCCTGGACTTAGTACTCTTGAAATCACAGGACGTAGTGGTCGATTTCATTTATAAGAGCAAAAATCAGATACATCTTTTAGTTAGCTCTAGAATAGGCAAGCAATAGCAGCAGGTACTAAGGATTTAATAAAGTTTTGGGGGGAGGATAATCTGAAAGTTGAGGAAATTCTATCTACTAACTTATTTTTCTTTTGCTATATGAAGAAGAAGAATCACCATTTAATTTTAGGTATGAAATCCCTCAGTTCCTTTCTTTTTTTATTTTAAGTAGGCTCCACACCCAATGTGGGGCTTGAACTCACAACCCTGAGATTAAGAGTTGCACCAACCAGGTGCCCCTGTGTATTTCTTGATACACACCTGTTCTCTTGAGTATGGTTTGAGGACTACTTGTCCTGGGGGAGGCCAGAGACCCCATAAGGTCTCTCCTTAAGTATTGGCTAACATGTAAAAAGGAACTCTTTCCCAGGAATAGCTGATTGGAAAAGGAGAAGAAAGCAGCCTTGTGGATCAGGTGTAGAAATAAATCCATAAAAACAATCGAAATTCTTTTCCATAAGTATGAGGCTATGTCTGTGGGGCACCGATGCTGACAAGCCCCAAAGGGTTTCTCTCTCTAGAGAGAAAAGGTGAAAGTGGGGGATTGGGAAAAAGACGGGCAGGGCCCTTACATCCAGAAGTGCAAGGGGCACATTCTGATTTCCTGTAAAATTCTCAGGGGCGGCTGGGATGGGAGGTGGACGAGCACACGGCGGGGACGGGTCCGGAGGGCAGTGTGTGGGACGGAGGCAGGGTCTCTCTAGAAAGCCCCAGTTCCCAGGGGTGGTGCTACACAGGAGAATCACCGTGTTCCCAGACGCCACCCCGCGAGAGCCTGATACAGCTGGTTTCTGGGGACGGGGCTCAGGACTCAGTGTTTTTAAAAAGCCCTTCTGGTGATTTTAATGTGCAGTCCAGTGTGAGACGCACTCATCTTTTAGGGCGGAGAGAGGCAGAACTTAGGAAGCTGCCTTACCGGACCAGGTCTCTTGTGCCGACTTGTTTCAGTCATTCCCACCGCCTTTGACCTGAATCGGGGCTTTGAGGCTGAACTTCAAAACTGTGGGCTATACTCTCCTTTTTTTTCAATTGAGGTAAAATTGGTATAGAACATTATTTAAGCTTCAAGTGTGCAGCATTGTAAGTTTCCATCTGTATGTACTACAGAGTGATCACCCCTACAAATCTAGTTATGATGCATCACCCTATAACTGACCCCCCTCAACCATGTGACCCACCTCCATCCCCCCCACCCTTCCCCTCTGTAATCATCCGTCTGCTCTCTGGCATCCGTAAGTTTGTTTTTGTTTTGTTTTCCTTTTTAGAGTCCAGATATGAGTGGAATCATATGGTATTTGTTTTTCTCTGTGTGACTTATTTCACTTAGCATAATAACTTCACGGTCTCTCCATGTCGTTGCAAATAGCAAGCTGAGTAGATGCCATTATAGCGCACGCGTACACACACACACACACAGTGCATCTTCTTTTTCCATTCATCCATTTATGAACATTTAGGTTGTTTCAATTCCTTGGTTATTGTAAATAATACAGCAATGAACAGAGGGGTGCATATATCGTTTTGAATCAGCGTTGTTGTTTTTTTGGATAAATACCTAGAAGTGGAATAGCTGGATCATATGGGAATCCTATTCTTATTTTTTTGAGAAATATCCATACTGTTTTCCATAGTGGTGGTGCCAGTTTACATTCTCATCAATTGGATATGAGAGATCCATTTTTCCCCACATGCTCCTCAGTATTTGTTATTTCTTGTCTTTTTGGTACTAGCTCTTCTAACTATCACCTCAATGAGGTGATAACCTCATTGTGGTTTTGATTTGCATTTTCCTGATGACTAGAGATGTTGAACATCTTTCTATGTGCCTGTGGGCCATCTATATGTCTTTTGTGAAAAAATGTCTATTCAGATCCTCTGACCATTTTTTAATTGGATTGTTTCTTTTTGTTGTTGTTGTATGAGTTCTTTATATATTTTGGATCTTAATCCTTTGTTGGATATATGATTTGCAAAAATCTCCCATTCAGTAGATCACATTTTTGTTTTGATGACCTTTTCTTTCGTTATGCAAAAGATTTTCAGTTTGATGTAATCCCATTTGTTTATTTTTGCTTCTGTTTCCCTTGCCTTTGGAATCAGATGCACAAAAAAATACCACTAAAACTCATGTTGAGGGGCTTACTGCATATGTTTTCTTTTAGGAATTTTATGGTTTCAGAGCTTACATTCAGGTTTTTAATCCATTTTGAGTTAATTTTTGAAGATTAACTGGAATTTTGATAAGGATTGCACTGAATCTGTAGATTGCTTTGGGTAGTATGGACATTTTAACTCTGTTCTTCCAATCCATGATCATGGAATATTTTTTTCCATTTATTTATGTCTTCATTTTCTTTCATCAGTGTCTTACAGTTTTCAGTGTGTAGGTCTTTCACCTTGGTTAAATTTATTCCTGGGTTTTTGATGCAATTTAAATGGAATTATTTTCTTAATTTCTCTTTCTGATAATTTGTCATTAGCATATACAAATGCCACAGATTTCTGTGTGTTGATTTTTGTATCCTGGTACTTTACTGAATTCATTTATTAGTTCTAACCGTTTTTTTTGTTGGAGTCTCTTAGGTTTTCTAAGTATAGTATCACGTCATCTGCAGGTAGAGACAGTTTTGCTTCTTCCTTTATCATTTAGATGTCTTTTATTTATTTTTCTTGCCTAATTATTTTGGTTGGGATGTTCAATACTATATTGAATAAAAGTGGTAAGTGGCCATTTTTGTCTTATTCCTGATTTTAGAGGAAAAACTTTCAGCTACTCACCATTGACTGTGATGTTAGCTGTGGGTTTGTCATATATGGCCTTTATTATGTTGAGATATGTTCCCTCTATGCCCACTTGGTTGAGTTTTTTTTGTTTTTTTTTAAAGATTTTTTTTATTTATTTATTTGACAGAGAGAGACACAGCGAGAGAGGGAACACAAGCAGGGGGAGTGGGAGAAGGAGAAGCAGGCTTCCCGCTGAGCGGGGGAGCCCGATGCGGGGCTCGATCCCAGGACCCTGGGATCATGACCAGAGCCAAAGGCAGATGCTTAATGACTGAGCCACCCAGGCGCCCCTGGTTGAGTTTTTATTAAAAATGGTGTTGGATTGTGTCAAATGCTTTTTCTGCAGCTATTGAGATGATTCATTTTGTTAATGTGGTGTGCACATTGATTGATTTGCAGATGTTGAACCATCTTTGTATCCTTGGAATCAGTCACACTTGATCATGGTTTATGGTCCTTTTATTTTATTGTATCCAGTTTGCTAATATTTTGTTGAGAATTTCTACATTAATGTTCATTAATGATATTGACCTACAATTTTCTTTTTTGTGATGTTCTCTGATTTTGGTTTCAGGGTCATACTAGCCTCATAAAATGACTTTGGAAGTGTTTCCTCCTCTTTAATTTTTTGGAAGATTTGAGAAGGATAGGTATTAAATCTTTGAATGTTTACTAGAATTCACTTGTGAATCTGTCTGTTCCTGGACTTGTGTTTGTTGGGAAGTTTTTGATTACTGATTCAATCTCCTTACCAGTAATCAGTGTGTTCAGATTTTCTATTTCTTCATGATATCAATCTTGGAAGAGTGTATGTTTCTAAGAATTTATCCATTTCTTCCAAATTGTCCACTTTGTTAGCATATAATTGTTTGTAATAGTTTTTATGGTCCTTTGTATTTCTGTGATGTCAGTTGTAAATTCTGCTCTTTCATTTCTGATTTTATTTATTAGAAACTTCTCTCTTTTTTCTTGGTCTAGTCTAGACTTCTCTAGTCTAGATAAAGGTTTTTGAGTTTCTTTTATCTTTTCAAAGAACCAGCTCTTAGTTTCATTGATCTTTTCTATTGATTTTTAGGTCTCTTTTTCATTTCTTTCCACTCTGTATTTATTATTTCCTTCTTTCTACTGAATTTGGGCTTTTTTTTTTTTTTTCCCCTAGATCCTGTAGGTGTAAAGTTAGATTGATTATTTGAGATTTTTCTTGCTTATGGAGGTAAGTCTGCTATGACTTTCCCTCTTAGATCACTTTTGCTATATCCCACAGATTTTGGTATGTCATAATTCTGTTTTCATTAGTCTCTAGGTTTTTTTTTTTTTTAATTTCTTCATTGACATCTTTGATGACCTGTTGGTTGTTTAGAAGCATGTTGTTTTATCTCCACACTTTTGTTTTTTTTTTCCAGCTTTCTTTTTGTAATTGATTTCTGGTTTCATACCACTGTAGTCAGAAAAGATACTTGATATTTAAAAGTGGTATGTCTTTTTGTTGGATTGACCCTTTTACATTATGTAATGCCCTTCTTTGTCTATTATTACAGTCTTTGTTTTAAAGTCTACTTTGTTATGAATATTCCTACACCAGCTTTCTATTCATTTCCATTTGCATGAAATATCTTTGTTAATCCCTTTGAGTTCAGTCTGTGTGTGTCCTGAAATGAGTCTGTTGTAGGTAGCATACAGATGGGTCTTATTTTTATGTATCCCTTCAGCCACTCTATGTCTTTTGATTGGAAACTTTAGTCCATTTACATTTGAAGTAACTATAGGTAAGTAATTATTGCCATTTTGTTGATTGTTTTCTGGCTGTTTTTGTAATTCCTCTCTTTTTTCTTTTTTTTTTAAAGATTTTATTTATTTAATTGACAGAGAGAGAGAGAGAGAGACAGAGAGAGAGGGAACACAAGCAGGGGGAGTGGGAGAGGGAGAAGCAGGCCTCCCGCTGAGCAGGGAGCCCGACGCGGGGCTCGATCCCAGGACCCTGGGATCATGACCTGAGCCGAAGGCAGTCGCTTAACCAACTGAGCCACCCAGGCGCCCCATCCTCTCTTTTTTCTGTCTTACCTTGTGGTTTGATGCCTCTCTTTAGTGTTTTGTTTAGATTCTCTTCTCATTTTCTTTTGTGTGTGTGTGTGTGTGTGTTTTCCCAAAGATTTTATTTATTCATTTGAGAGAGAGGGAGACAGAGAGAGCACAAGCAGGGAGAGAGGGAGAGGGAGAAGCAGGCTCCCCACTGAGCAGGTAGCCCTATGTGGGGCTCGATCCCAGGACCCTGGGATCATGACCTGAGCCTAAGACAGATGCTTAACTGACTGAGCCACCCAGGCACCCCTTCTTTGTGTTTTTATGGTAAGTTTTTGCTTTGTGGCTTGCCATAAAGTTCACATGTAAGTTCCTTACATGTGAACTTTATGGTCTGTTTTGAGTTAATAGCAACATTCCAAAACTTTACATTTCTTCTACCCCTTCTATTTTATGTTTTTGATGTCACATTTTATGTCTTAATTTTATGCATTCTTTAATTCTTGTAGTTTCAGTTAACTGTATTATTTTTGTCTTTAAACCTTCATAGTTGCTTTATAAGTGATTGATTCACTACTTTTACTGTATGTTTACCTTTTCCAGGAGGATTTCATATATATTTCCTTGTTATTAATTAGTGCCATTTCTTTCAGTTTAGAGAAGTCCCTTTAACATTTATTGTGATGCTGGGTTAGTGGTGATAAGCTCCTTTATAGCTTTTGCTTATCTGGAAAACTCTTAATCTCGCCCTCAATTTTTTTTTTTTTTTAAGTAGGCTCCACACTGAGTGCAGAGCCCAATGTGGGGCCTGAACCCATGAACCCAAGGTCAAGACCTGAGCCTAGATCAAGAGTCGGACACTCAACCAGCTGAACCACCCAGGATCCCCTTTCCCTCAATTTTGAATGATAACTTGCTGAGAATTCTTGGTGAATTTTTTTCCTTTTAGCACTTTGAATATATTATGCCACCTTCTTTTGGATTGCAAGATTTCTGTTGAAAAATCTGCTGGCATACTTATGGGGTTTCTCTTGCTGCTTTTAAGATTCTCTCTTTAACTTTTATCATTTTAATTATTATTAAAATTACCATTTTAATTCTAGCATCTCTTTTTGTGGATCTCTTTGGTTCATTTTGTTCAGGACTTTCTGTGCTTCTTAAACCTGGATTTCTTCCCCAGATTAGAAAAGTTTTCAACTATTATTTCTTCAAATAAGTTTTCTGGCCTTTTTTCTCTATCTTCCCTTTCTGGAATCTCTATAAGGCAAACATTATTCCACTTGATGTCTCAGAGATCCTTTAAATAATCTTCATTCTCCACAATTCTTTTTTCTTTTTGCTCTTCGGCTCAGGCGACTTCTATTGCTTTCTCTTCTAGCTTGCTGATCAGATTTTTGGCTTCATCCAGTATGCTCTTGGACCCCTTTAGTATACTTTTCAGTTTAGTTATTGTATTCTTCAGCTCTGTAACTACTCTTTAGAACTTTCTTATATTTACTGTCTCTTTGTTGAGGATTTCCATATTCATCCATTCTTCTCCTGAGTTCACTGAGCATCTTTATGACCATTACTTTAAACTCCTTATCAGATAGGTTGCTTATGTCTGTTTCATTAATATTTTTCTCTGATATTTTATCTTGTTTTTTTGTTTGAAACATAATGTTTTGTTGAAACACTTTGTCTTATTCTCTGTGTTTGTTTGTATGTATTAGTCAAATTCACTACCCCTTCCAATATTGGAAGAATGTCTTTGGGCAGGAGAGGTCATGTGGAACCCAGATATGCAATCCCCTCTGACCACCAGAACTAGGCGCTCAAGGATTATCCTCAATATGGGCTGCACACACCCATCTGCTGTGGCAGGATTGTATCTGTGGAATGGGGGTGGGTGGGATTGGCCCTTGGTCTGGCTGTGACACGTAGTTTTGCTCTGATGGTGTGTGGGATTCTCACCTGAGCATGCCCACCAGCTCTAATAGGTTAGAGGGATAGTTCCAAAATGGTGTCCACCAGCACCAAACTTAGCAAGGTAGGAAGAGGTCACATATATAGTGGCTGCCATTGTCTGTGTCTATATAAGGTCCCAACAATTTCCTGCCTCTCTGGCAAGTGCTTTAAGATTAGTAAGTTGGTTTCCTTCACATACGATCTAGGAACTTTTCAAATTCATGTTTTTGTGCTGGGTTCCAGCGCAAGCAAATCTGTGCATGAGTCCTTAAGAGTGGGTTCTCCATTCCCTTCAGTTTCATAGTTATCCTGGATATAATCGTCATTGGCTTTCAAAGTCTGGCATGTAGGGGGTCTCCTATCTCTCATGCAGGGTCTAAGGGTTGGAAGCCTGATGTGGAGCACAGACCCCTCACTTCTTAGGAAAAAATTCTGTACTTTTGAGACCCTTCCTGATTGTGGATCCCAGCACTTATGGTGGAGACTTTTTTGGCAAGGCAGGGTCTTTGCTTCTCCTACCTATCTCAGTGCTGTCCTTTTTGTCCTTTGTTGTGGAGGCTCTGGTCATCCGATTTGCTGGTCTTTTTCAGAGGAAATTATTATTGTATATTTGTTGGATCCATGGGAGGGAGTGAGTTCACATCTTATGACACTATCTTGAACCTAACTGCACCCTCTCTTATTTTTATTGCCAGCCATATCTTGCTTTCTTACAAGCTCAAAAGGCTTAGATATAGTTGCTGTGCAAGGTGCCTGAAACGGAAAATGTCTTTGCTGATGGATTATGCCCTGATCATGGCACGCTGGCAGATATTTCTTCCTGGGAATAGAGCAAAGCATTTTCTATTTCATAAATTAAGATAAATCATTCCCTCACCATTTGTCTATAGCTGTATCAGACGGTGCCAAACAGCTTTATTGTTTGAATTGTTAGATTTCCAAGCTTATACAAAATCCAAGTTTTATTAATAGCACATAATTACCACATGCTTCAATTTTCTATAAACACAGAAATTCAGTAATTAGCTTTAGAATTATATTACAATATGAAAGTAGAACCACAATGGCTGTAAATGCCATTGTGTGTTACATTTCTAAAAATAAAAAAATAAAATGTTCATTATCTTGTCAATGATTCAACTCCACACAAAGCACTCAGTGGAATTGCCCAGTATTCATTCAACTGCTTTGTGTCAGCTCTAGGGACATTAGTAGCAAAGGACATGAGATCACTGTGAAGGCCAATAAACAAGGGCCTCATCTTCCTGCCTCACAGAATGGCATTTTTAGCATCTAGATGAGCCATGGCATGTATTACTATATTATTTTTGCTTCCTTTCCCCAAATGAAATTGAAACACTGTAGAATCACTTCTTCTCAAGAAGGAAACTCCCTCTCTATCAGTGAGCTACTGCTTGTTAAGACAAATGCATTAACTTGCTTTGATCACTAAGGGGCCATCAGCTACATTCTGGGAAAGCAAGAGAAGGGAGCTCTATGAAAAGCTGTCAACTGGACAGAATGCTTAGCCTCTGACTGACAGCTCAGCAGGCCATTCCATACACCTTAAATGCAAGAATCTACTGTTGACATCTTTTCATGATTTTGGATTCGTCTCCTTTAAACAAATGGAAATATTGGTCCCTAGCCCAGTGGGTGAGCTGTGATGGTATATAGATTCAACTTTCTCCCTTCCCAAGGAAGCACACAGTTTTCATTTCCATGGAGACACAGTGTGGTAGAATGGGATAAAAAGAGGCTTGGGAGCCTGTGACTACTGGAAATTCTGCTAACATTCTACTGCGGGGTTTGGACTCCTTACCTTCTGTTGCCTCAATTTTCTGAGATTTCTAAAATCTGAATCTGAAAGACAAAAGCTGAATCTGAGAGAGAAAAATCTCGACTTTTATAGCCCTTAAGAGTATTAGCTGGAGGAATACTGGAAGTCTATTTAGGGTAATTTCCCACTTACCTTTCAGTGTTCTCGATGTCTATGGAAACCTGCCAGGAATGTTGCTGAATATCTACAGGGGATGATGAGGAGTCCTCTAGAGCAGGTGTTTCAGTACTCTCCTCAATTTTGCAATCCAAACTCTTGGTTCCCCCACCAGGCTCCTTTCCTAAGTTGGGGGTGGTGGTGGGGGTGTTGGTAAAGAGAAAAAGACAAGAAATCATAAATTCAAGTTCTATAGCCAAGATATCATTGCAAGGATTGTCTGTGCTTTGAGTTAGAGGCTCCATTAACCCCAATTACTTTCTGAATACTAAATACAGTACCAATTCAGTTGTTTCTGAATAACATGAATATAGATATCTCTATCTCTAGCTATATAAATATATGTACTTGTGTGTGTAGCATGTTTCACAACATTCTGGGAAAGATAGTTTGTAGATCCCAGTTTGTAGATACCCAAGATCAAGGTAAAAGTAAGGGCTCAGTCTTTGATGGAGTATGAGGTCTCTATAATCCATTCTTAGTGAGGTAGATCAGGTCAGCTTGAGAGGGGAGTTTCAGCCTGTGAAATCGAGCTTCTTTTTGGTTCTTTGATTCAAAGACGGCCAAGAGCAGGTGACACCCAGCAGGAAGAATGGGAGCTCCTGCCCTTCTCTCTGACTCTGACACTGACTGTCTTGGATTCATATCCCTTAAACAAATAGAAGTTTTGGGACCCAGTATGTGGAAAGAAGTATTATCTTAGAATGTAGGAAATAGGAGATTGTGGACTTGCCTTCCATTTCCTTGGCTTTCCAACCTCCTTCCGCTTATCCTTCTATGAGGAAATAGTTCAGCCTCAAGATCCAGACTGGCTCTGCTGGGACCATAAAGTGCCATCGACTAAAGTGCCATGTACTTACTGGGTAGCCATCCACAGCAGTGCACTACCAGTCCAAAACTTGCATTTACCATGCCTAATCTCAAGTGAATAAATCAGTACTTTCCAGAAACAAATCTCCAAATTGGTTCCGTAATAAATTCATATGAAATTAAATGGTAGTTATAGTCTATGGCCCAGGTATCGTCTGTTAACATCTTTTATTTGGGGGCACCTGGGTGGCTCAGTCATTAAGCGTCTGCCTTTGGCTTAGGTCATGATCCCAGGGTCCTGGGATAGAGCCCCACATCAGGCTCCCTGCTCTGCAGGAAGCCTGCTTCTCCTTCTCCCACTCCCCCTGCTTGTGTTCCCTCTCTTGCCGTGTCTCTCTCTGTCAAATATATAAATAAAATATTTTTTTTTAAAATCTTTTATTTGGCCTTGAACATTGTCATTTGCAAGGGTGTGTCCTGGTATCATGGGAATGGCTTATGAAGCCGGAGAACTGAGTTTTATCAGTTGTTCATTCACTCTTTGATTCATTTATTCACTTACAAACATTTCCTGGGTGTTAGCCAAGTATCAGGTACTGGGTTTGATGCTAGATTGTTTCTTTTACTCTTTTATTCAGTGTTATTTATAGTACATAGCTGCAGCTATAGAGGAGTTGTTAAGAATTTGTGATAGCCCATATCATTAAATATTCATGAGATAGCAGCTACACCAGGTTACCTCTTAGCTCAGTTTCCCTAATCCTGATGTGTGTTTTGCATGGTTAAAAAAAAAAAAACCAATATAGGGGCGCCTGCATGTCTCAGTCGGTCAAGCATCTGCCTTTGGCTCAGATCATGATCTCAGAGTCCTGGGATCGAGCCCCGCATTGGGCTCCCCGCTCAGTGGCGGATGGGCTGCTCCCTCTCCCTCTCCCTTTACTCTTCCCAGCCACTCGTGCTCTCTCTCTTCTCTCAAATAAATTAATAAAATCTTAAAAAAAACTCAATATAAACAGAAAAATTAAACAAAGACACTTGTGAACAGGATGGTAAAATCTAATAGGAATATTTTTCCTTGGATTCCTGACTGAAGGAGACTAGCAAAAATCTCAACCCTGTCATTTCTAACCTATATGGCAGCAACACAAGGAAAAAGAGACAAGCAATTAAGTGGTTATTAACTGTACGCCATTCATCAACCTATAGTAGAAATGGACCTCTGAATTTTCAGCCAAAGCACAAACATAAGTTTACTGATGAGAACTTTTGATCCTTTTGTGTGTACTTTATGCTCATTGATCCTGAGTGATGGAATTGCTTTTCCAATTTTATGGTATACTGTTGGGGTGAAATTTAATTAAGCACATAATTTAGCATATTACCATTTCACAGTTGGAGGGCACTGACCTCTTAAAAGCAATTGCATTGCGCTTCCTGGGAGAGTGCAACAAATACAGTCCATCTGCCACCCCCTGCTGAGCAGGGTCGCCTTAGGATGCAGTTCCACAGGGGTGGCTAAGATCTGAGAGAGAAGCAAAAGGCGGGGGTGGTGGGGGTGGGGGGCTCCTTAAACCCAGTCCTCTGCTGCTCAGAACTCTGAAGGATTGGGCCATCTGAAAGCACACATGGTTCCCGTGGTCCTCCTGTGGAGTAGAAATGCCTTGGGGAACACAGTATGGTTTGGGCAGCAAAGGGGAAAGGAAGAAGATACACTTATGGGCTTTGCTTGGCTTGGGGCCATCATAGCCCCTGTCCTGTGGTCAGAGCTGTCATTCAGATGAGGACAGGGGAGGACACACTGTTTCTCGGAGTCCTCTCTCTACCTCCCTCATATGTGTGTGTGTGTGTGTGTGTATATATACACTTTTTACACGAAAAGGCATAAATAAAATCCAATCCACAATCAGTGTGTTTATACTTACTGCCCGTAATACTTCCGTAATACTTATATAAGACAAAGATCATTCTATTACCTTTTCAAAGTAAAATAACTGTTCATATATTCCCGAAACACACCTGTGAGCTTGTAATGCCAAGTCATCTCCTCCTTCTCCTCATTTCTCAGTGACTAGTTCTAACTCTGCTAATATAGATGAACAAAAATAAAAACCTTGGATGCTGGGCTTGCAGTGTAGTGCTATCAGCTCACACAATCTCTGCAGAATTTTGATCATATTGTATCTTCTCTGGCTGAAACATCTTAAAAAGACAGAAGGGATCAGTATGAATTTAAGGGGTTTTCAATTCCAGAGTATTTGTGGGGTCAAGTTCTCTCTGCACGTAGATAATAATTGCTTTCATGTACTCAGAGCAATGACTTTATGTGGCTCATCCCTTCCCAGTACAGAGTCTGTTTATTGCCTTCATGGTACTCATCTCTTAGAAATTATCTTGCTTATGTATTTGTTAACAAATTAAATACATTTTTAATAGTATATAAATTTGAATATGCTTTTTTCTTGTAACTCTTTCATATCTCTAATGCTGTGTATTCATGGCTCCTGATTTCTTTGTATACCATCTCTTGAGTTCCACATCTTTAGCTTTCTTGGATTCAGTTTTCATTTTGTTGCAGCATATCCTCGACTAATTATTTCAGAGCATATCTGTGGAATGCAAAATTTTTTACTCTTTAAGTAACCGAAAATACTTTTTTCTTCTCTCTTTCTCTCTCTTTGTGCTCATGCTTAAATTTTAATTGGCTGGATGTAGAAATCTATCTTCAAAGTAAGTTTCTCTCAAACTTGGAAGATACTATGTCCTTATCTTAATGTCCATATCCAGAGTGATTTGTATGTAGCCTGTTTACGGCTCTCTGAAAAATTTTTAGGGTATTACCTTTAAATTTTTAATTATTGAGATGGCTCCTACATAGTGTAAGTGTAGCTTCTCTTTATGTTAATCTTTGTTGGCATTTGCAATCTCTCATCTCCCTTTTTTTTTTATTTTGAGAATTTGCAAACCTACGGTAAACTTGCAATAATACAGTGGACACCCAGATATTCTTGTTTTACCAACTGTTAATATTTAGCTATATTTTCTTTTATTTCTCTCTCTGTATCTCTCTATATGTATGTATATGTATATAGGTTTTATATATATAGATTATATGTATTATATATAATTTTTATATATAAAACTATATATTTAAATATAATTTTACTGACCCATTTAAGAGTAATTTGCAGTCATTAATGGCACTTTATTCTAAATACTCCAGCATGTATCTCCTAAAGAACAAGTATGTTTTCCTCTGTAAGCTCAAAATAATGATCATGCCAAAAAAAATATTTAACTTGGATTAAATATGATTCAATACAGTTTGATACAATACTATTATTTAATATATAGATTATATTCACATTTCCCTAATTGTTTCAATAATGTTTTTTCCAGCTTTTTTTTAATTGAAGGCTCCGGTGAAGGATTGTGCACTGCATTTGGTTGTCCTTTTTCTTTATTCTCCTTTTATGTAGAACAGCACCCTTGTCTTTTTGTCTTTCACGTCATTAATATTTTTGAATGAAGAGTTCAGGCCAGTTGTTTTATAGAGAGTCTTTCAGTTTGGATTCGTCTTCTTGTTTCTGCATGCGTAGGTTCAGCGTAAACATTTTTCGGCAAGCATATTATAGAAGTGATATTGTATCTTTCTTAGTGCAGTGCATCAGAAAGCTCATAAGTCACTTTGTCCCATTATTGTTAGTTGAGTATTATTGATTGCTTGGTTTCTGCCAAAAGCTTTCATTCCAATGGGAAAAAGGGATCCACCATTATAGATGTACCCTTTTCCCTTAGTGGTTACTAACTACTCTATGGAGTGATTCATTGAGATGTTACGGCATTTTCAATTTAAGTATTTCTTTCTTTTAGGTTTGGGAAAAGTTTTTCTATTTTTCTTGGTTATCTACCTCTCTGTTCTCTCCATTCTTTTCAGAATTCCTCTTATTGGAGTCTCGGAACCATCCTATATGTTTCTTTTCTTTTTTTTTAGATTTTATTATTTATTTATGTGCCAGAGAGAGAGAGAGAGCACAAGCAGGGGGAGTGGCAGGTAGAGGGAGAAGCAGGCTCCCTGCTGAGCAAGGAGCCAGACGCGGGACTCGATCCCAGGACCCCAGGATCATGACCTAGCCGAAGACAGACGCCCAATGACTGAGCCACCCAGGCGTCCCCCATCGTATATGTTTCTTAACTATTCCCCACACTCCACATTTATTTTGGGGGTTGAATTCTGGGAGAATACCTTGACTTGATTTTATAGTTCACTATTTTAGGGTCTCAGCATATTCATTATAATAATTGTTAAGAACTGTG